GGGGAAGGGGGGGGGGGGGCTGGCAGGAGAGGGAGAGGGGGCAGGCCAGATTTGCGGTGTGGACTGGAAGGAAGAGAAGGACAGGTCAAGCAGGGGCCAGTAAGGGGGGGGGGGTCGAAAATGTGCACCAAAAAAGGCACGTCAGTTCGGAGGCCTGTGGCCTTGGCGGATTTTGTTTTGTGCCTGCTTCAACGAGCACCTCCCAGGCTAAGCTTACTTAACATGTGAAGCTTGATATGTCAGGTTTTTCGTGTCGTTCACCTATTTTGCTGTTCTCAACGCAGCAAGGCCGCACTCAGCAGGTTGATTTCGGTGCATGTCTTGTTCGGCGAACTCCATGAAAAGACAAACCACGAGTCGAGCTGTTTATACTACATGTAGCTTTGTTTAACTGTGGGACAGTTGCAGCTGCATACTAGCCAGTTTACATGATCCAGCCACGAACCTGAGGTTTTAACGGCGGTTTTCTGCCAGAATCTGGATTGCAAGTTGAGTTAGTTTTGCTCCCTCATGGTTTCGCTGCGGTGTGCCTTCTCCGTATTATCTTTGGGTGGGTCACCTAAGCTACAACCCAGGACTGCGATCGAAAGTGCGCAGAACGATCAGGCGACAATGGTGCAAACAATGCTCGATAGCAAAGAGGCGATCTTGGACAAGTTGAAGGCATTGTTTTATGAGATCGACGTGGAAGAAGATGCTGGAAAGAAGCATGCTGGTTCGCTGACAGTTACCATGTTCGAAGAGAAGATGAGGAACCCTGACGTGCATAACTTTTTCGAATCACTTGGACTGGATGTTTGGGATGCGTGCCCTCACTGCATTATCAATGTTTGGGCTTGGTTTCAGAGGCCGCAGTCAACAGGTTTATCCAACGTGTTGCCTTTCAGGTAGAGTCGTGTTTCGCCGTAAGCAGTCCGGTTTAGTCGAATCCTCATGTGAGCATTTGGCCTTCGAACACAAACTCAGCAGTTCCTTGTCGCATGGAATTTGCAACTTGTATCAACAGCAAAGGTAGGGGTATCACAGGACAGACGCGATCCTGAGAAATATCACGCTGACATGAGGTGGTCTTTCTTCAAACTCCTGGATGCAGACGGAGGCCTGCGTGACGTTGTAAGTTGTGTGTAAGGATGGGAGTTTCCTTTTTGAGGAAATGGCCGTTCGCACATTGAGTGTCTCTCACGCCGGAGTACATACATCACGTATATGATACACCAAAGCACACGAATGCATTCGCACGTGTACATATGGAAAGAATACGCGTAAACACGCACCTACAGGTTAAGTGGAGATATATATATATGCATGCATTTGCCTCCTTACTGTACATGTTTATGCGTACATGTTGCTGATGTTCGTACAGATGATTTTTTGTATATCACGTCTGCATACACATATTTGTACACACACACACACATATAAAAATATGAGCATACATGCATGCAGATACACATAGGGATACATGTACAGAGACTGGTGACAACATACAAGCATACACAAACACCTACAGACGTATACCTAGACCCACATGCATACGCAGGCATATTCATGCTAACACGGATAAGCAACACACATCCACACATGTACGTAACTAAACGGACATGCATGAAGATGTGGCTGAATACAGGCATGTATGTACGTTGTCATACATATACATAAGCCGGCGTCAGTCGGTGTACGTGCACGTATCTTTACATATACGTACATGCATATATACAAACACATGCAGACATGTGCTTGCCTATATGTTCGTATGCAAGGTCGTACTGTTGATGACATCAATCCTGCATTACCTTAAGGACCCTAAACTATGGGAGTTATGGTATATTCCTTATTATGGGTAATGCAGGATTTATATCATCAACCGTATCTCCCATGTTCAAGCACTCGACCCTGGCCCAAAAAGCCTAGTCCTACACCCCAAGATTTCAACTCCAAGTCCTAAAGCCGAAATTCCCAAGTCACCACTGTCGCTCCTAAGCGCAGAACCTCAACCTCCGAAGACATCTATTCGGGGCTCCTTGTTTTGGTTCTGTCCTAGATTTTTAGGGGTAAACAGCACAGTTTCAGGCATCTTGCTTCTGGGTTTTGCTTGAGGGTAGGCTTCCGGCTGACAGTTCGGGATGTAGGGTTGGATGGAACTACTCTTACATGGCACAAACTCTTAGGGATGCTGGGTTCAATAGTGTTCCCAAACCCAAGACCCTGAGCCCAGAGGTGGTGCTGTGGATACCAATGGAGTTCTTCCAGGGCCTCTTGATTTCACAGTGCTGAGGCTGAGGGTTTTCGATTTTCTTGAGTGCCTGGAGGGTTACTGTTATCTGGATGGGTTTAGGGCAGGGTTTGCTTTTCAGGTTTTGGTTTGGGATTGTAAACCGAGGCTTGTAGCCTCGGGCATGTATCTCCGCCCGAAGCCTCAAACCCTGAGCAAGAAGGTACAGTGGCCAATATTATTCCCTCTATCCCAAACCCCAAATCCCAACTCCTTAAACCTTAAACCCAAAACCCTAAGCCCTAAACCCTCATCCCTAAATCCTAAACACTAAACCCAAGGGGCCCGGAGTGAGGTTGCCTCCGTTTCCGCGGACCCGCCCGGTCGATGGATGTCGGGAAGCTTATCCAGGATCAGAAGTGGATGATCCACAACCAAGGCAAGGTTTTTTTTGGGGGCCTTGTATCATGTATCATAAAAATATTTGCCATATCTTATGATACAATAATGCATTTTTTCATAGTACACTTGGGATTTACTTGCGGTATGTTACGGCTTATTTGCTGTGCAATATACCGAGGGCTTCGGGTCAATGATAGGTTCCGTGGGACACTTTTGATGGCTTTCGAGCCGGAATGAACAGCTGGGGCATCCCGAAGCCCTAAACTGCTTCGCAAACCCGACACCCTAAACCCTCAACCCTAAACCATAAACCCTAAACCCTAAACCCTAAATCCTAAACCATAAACTAAACCCTAAACTCCTAAACCCTAAACTCTACACCCTAAACCCTAAACCGCTTTGGGCTTGGGGCAACATTTGTGGTGGCTCCGCCTGATTGCCATGTTAAGCTTTCTTTGATGCGGTACGGTTTACACGACTTTATTGGGTTTAGGGTCTAGGGTTTAGGTCTGAGGCCCATAGTGTTTTTGACAGAATTCTGGGCCCTTCGTCCCTTCAACATCGTCGGAAGCTAGACGGATGCCACGCATACTGAAAATCACGGTCTCAACCCTGGTCTACGTTTGCATGAATACAATGCTGAGTGAAAGCTTGAACCCGAAACCCTCGCGTAAGGAAGCAGCAATAGTGCGCAAATAGCCATGACAGTCAGGGTCCTGCAGTACGATTTCTTGAAACCATAAGCTCTCAGTCTCAATTCCTAACCCCCCCTTGGCCAGGAAAATTCCAGGAGTACGTGCAAGACGAATTGGCCCAAGTCAAGGCGAGATGTTGGAGAGCTCCGGGTTTAGGCTATGGGGTCTTGGCATGGTGTCTGGGTTATTCCAATTTAGGGTTTTGAGTGTAGGGACGTCGGTGTTGGATTTAGGATGTCGGTCTGGTGATGGTTCGGAATTTTGTTACACTGGTTTCTGCTTCATCTCTGTGTTGTGCATAACTTCACTGATACTCAGACGAAGATCCAGGGAAACCTATAACTCTTGTTGTCCCCTAAACCCTAAAACCTAAACCCTAAACCCTTTAACTCTTGTTGTCCGCACGGACTCTTCAAAGCATCTTCCTGAAGCCCCGGAGCCTGCTCGCAAGCGCAATGTCGTCAGTGTAAGCATCCACCTCTGAGCGGGCTCAGAGTTTAGGGTTTAGGGTTTGGGGCTCCTGGTGGTTCATCTTGAAAACCAGGGACGCTTGCATGATAGATAGGCTTTCACAGCCTCAGGGGGTTCCGGGTTTAGGTTGGCTTTAGGCAAGTCTCGTTCTTCTGTAGAGGTCGTCAGGATGTCGGGGTTGTTCTAAATGAACTAGGGTCCTTGGTATCGCAGGTCTTGTTCAAGCAAGTACCTCAACACGAACCCCAGTTTAGACCCTTCTCTTGGGCTTCAGGGGCTTGAGGCTTCTCATGGTCTCTGCATTCGGCAAGCTAGCAAGAAAATCAACCCTAAACCCCTAAATCCTAAACCCTAAACCCCTAAACCCCTACCCCCTAAACCCTAAACCCTAACCCCTAAACCCTAAGCCGTCAAGTATAATCTTGCATGCCACGTCCTCGACAGCACATTCTGCCGCCGAAGCTCGGAATCCTGAGCCTCAAACCAGCTCCAAAGGAGACGTCGAACTTCGATCGGAAAACAGAGGGTCTAGGGTTTAGGGTTTAGGGGTTTAGGGGTTTAGGGTTTAGGGTTGAGGGTCTAGGGTTTAGGGTTTAGGGCTCTTTCAATGGCTAACTTGGCTGCCAGGAGAAGCTTTCGTTGCTCTGTGATTCCTTCTCCGCCGAAGGCGACGAAGATCCATTTTCCAAAGAGTCTTGAGCCTTTCAGATGCTTACTGTAGGGGTTCGTGATTAGATACGGCCTTGTTCGCATGTGGGTAGTTCTCTAAATTAGGGTCTCTTTTAGGGTCCTGTTTAGAAGGGTGCCGTACTATTTTGGGGACCTAAAAAGAGACCCTAGTTTAGAGAACTACCCATGTCCTTAGTTTGACAATCACGACCTGCAGCACCCTGGCCCGCACCATGAACTTATCGTTGTATCAGGCGCGCAGAAATAATTCACCAGACATTGCAGACACGATGCTTACACTATGTTCCTAAACCCTAAACCCTAAACCCTTGTTTTCACCGAATACAGCATTTCCTATCGGCAGTCGTCGTGAAAGAGCTGTTGGTCGCTCATAGCCAGACTGGTGGAAGGGGCAGGTGTGGTAAGCCGGACCCCACAACAAAAAGCATGTAAGTCGGGGCTGGTTTGAGGTTGAGACCTTCTTGCTTTTGAGGTGCTTCTGGTGCCTTTCTGGTTTCACTATGCCAAAGACTCTTTGCAAAGCCGGTCTCTCACTGTGGAATTCCACTGGAGCTTAAACTGCTCCTTGCATACCGTTTTGCTAGGCAACGGCTCGCAGCCAAAGACCTTTTGAGAGGCCTTTTCGTTGAATTGCGCGGTTTTTAGTCGGAATGCCCGCTTTTCACTGGACAGCACAAATACCCCTCAGGGGTTGTGCGGTGCAGGGTGCGGAAGGGCTTGTATCATTGTATCGCATGAATCGCAACACCCAGAGAGCCCAATACCCCTTTATTAAATCATAGCATTAAGGCCCCTATAATTCAAGGTATAATCCTTATTTATGGGGTATTGGGCTCTCTGGAGAGACTTCTCTCTTGCCGGTTGCCGTCAGCGAAGCTGATTTTCCGAAGAACCGACGAAGAGAAAGCAAGAAGGCAGGACCTCCCAACACCCTGAGAAGAACCCCCCCAAAAGGCCCCTTACGAGGAGAGTCTTTCAGAGATACCCCCTGGATTCGACTACGTACATTCCGACAGCCCTCAACACCGATATCCTGCGCTGTGTATATGGGTAGTTCTCTTAAAAAAGGGGTCCCTTTTTGAGGGTCCCTTTTTATAAGGGTGCCGTACTATACTGGGGACCTAAACAAGGTACCCTGATTTAGAGAACTACCCATATGTATTTGGGTACACATAGCCTCAGGTATCAGAAGAGAGCGTCTCATCTGATGTGTCTGTCAACCCTAAACCCTAAGCCCTAAGCCCTAAACCCCTAAACCCTAAACCCTAAACCCTAAACCCCTAAACCCTAAACCCCTAAACCCTAAACGCCGCGAAGGGTTCGGGGGTTTGGGACTCGCCATCCCGTTGAGCAGCCGCGCCCCCCAAAGGTGCAAAACAAGAATCCCGGGTCCGGGGAAAGACTCCCTAGTGGGTTTAGGGTTCAGGGTTTAGGGTTTAGGGGTTTAGGGGTTTAGGGGTTTAGGGGTTAGGGTTTAGGGGTTTAGGGGTTTAGGGTGTAGGGTTTAGGGTTTAGGGTGGGGTGCTTCGAAGGGAATGGGGGAATGGGTTATGGGGACTATTATCGGGGATGATATGGGGGCTACTGAAGGATCCATTCCCCCACTAATGACCAGGGGTAAGATGTAAG